CGCTTTCTACTGTCAAGTGCAATGTCAAGAAGACTGCTTTTACTTCCTGGTACAGCCTTTGTCAGTTCTCTGTATGCTTCATTTGACTTCAGACACATGATTGTTGCATCCCAAAAGAGTTTCATAGCATCTGGGCCTTTCTTCAAAGTGTCCTACATAGCACCTCTTCAACAACAAATTTCTAGAAAAGCAATAGAAAATAAAAAGGGGCTATGCCCCTTTTTTATTCGTCCGTCAAAAACAACAGAACTGACAACATGCTGTAGAAAAGGTGTTCAAGTTCGAGTTTGTCAACACCAAAAAGAAAAAAATGAACAGAGCAAAAGAAGAGATTGAAAAGGGGCTCCAGTTCGAGTTTGTCAAAATAAGTTCAAGTTCGTCGAAATAGAAAAACTACAGAAACAAAAGAAGAGATAGAAGCTTGAGTTCTAGTTTGTCAAAATCAATAGAGAAGCTAGCTAGAGAAGCAATAGAAAATAAAAAAGGGGCTATGCCCCAAAATTGTTCATCCATCAAAAAGCAGCAGAACTACTCATGGTGGGACAACAGGAGCTCAAATTCAAGTTCGTCAACACCAAAAAAGCTACAGAAGAAAAAAAATGGAACAGAACAAAAGAAGAGCTGGAAAAGGGGCTTAAGTTGGTGATCCTCAACATCAGAAGGAGATGTTCCTCTTTTATTAAAAAAAGGAGCAAAAGAAGAGATTGAAAAGGGGCTCAAGTTCGAGTTCGTCAAAATATAAAAGGCTACAGAGGAACAATAGAATAAAAGAAGAGATAGAAGCTTGAGTTCTACAGTAGTTCGTCAACATCAAAAGAGAAGCTAGCTAGAGAAGCAATAGAAAATAAAAAAGGGGCTATGCCCCAAAATTGTTCATCCATCAAAAGCAACAGAAACGATTAAAGAAAAAGCCAACCTTAAAGGAAAATGCCAACCCTTCCCCTTTTCTTTTTCTATAGGGTATATATAGTCGGAAAAAGCGGACAAGCGTCGGAAAAGCGTCGGAAAAAGCGGACAAGCGTCGGGACAAGCGTCAAAAAAAGCGGACAAGCGTCAGGACAAGCGTCAAAAAAGCGGACAAGCGTCAAAAAATTCGGCACGGAACATGTAAAAAACGTGTAGAAAATCCAGTATGTACACACGTAACGTAAAGACCGACAAAATGCGTTATATATTATCTATACACGTATAAAAAACAAAGTACAGACGTACCGATTACTTAGGAGGAGAGTCATCCGTTGAAAGTAGCAAAAAAAATTCGACTTGATTATAGAGTCCTTTGAAATTGGCTCGGGGTCAATCCAAAGTGGTTTGTTCTTGCCTTGGTTTTGGTCTTTGCCTTGGATTTCCAATCCCCATTTTGTCAGTGCCCAGAATAGAATGCTGCCAAGCCAGTGGTCAAGGATGAGCTTGGTATATATGTCCCCGTTGCTTCTGGGATTGGGTTGCCTATCATTTCTTACGCTCCAGATGTAATAGGTCATGAGTGTTGGGGTTACAAAGTTGATGATGCTGTTCAGATACAAATCGAGGCTTTCAAGCTTTTTTAAGGAAACATCTGTGATTTCTTTTGTCAGTTCAGGGAATATCTTAGCAAAGCTTGTGGAATTTAAAAAAATAAGCATGGTTGTAACAGGCTCATTTGTTTCTCGTGCTGGAAACATATATTTGCCTTTGGACAGAAACTTCATGAAAGAGTTCCACAGCTTCTTGTTCCGCTTTCTACTGTCAAGTGCAATGTCAAGAAGACTGCTTTTACTTCCTGGTACAGCCTTTGTCAGTTCTCTGTATGCTTCATTTGACTTCAGACACATGATTGTTGCATCCCAAAAGAGTTTCATAGCATCTGGGCCTTTCTTCAAAGTGTCCTACATAGCACCTCTTCAACAACAAATTTCTAGAAAAGCAATAGAAAATAAAAAGGGGCTATGCCCCTTTTTTATTCGTCCGTCAAAAACAACAGAACTGACAACATGCTGTAGAAAAGGTGTTCAAGTTCGAGTTTGTCAACACCAAAAAGAAAAAAATGAACAGAGCAAAAGAAGAGATTGAAAAGGGGCTCCAGTTCGAGTTTGTCAAAATAAGTTCAAGTTCGTCGAAATAGAAAAACTACAGAAACAAAAGAAGAGATAGAAGCTTGAGTTCTAGTTTGTCAAAATCAATAGAGAAGCTAGCTAGAGAAGCAATAGAAAATAAAAAAGGGGCTATGCCCCAAAATTGTTCATCCATCAAAAAGCAGCAGAACTACTCATGGTGGGACAACAGGAGCTCAAATTCAAGTTCGTCAACACCAAAAAAGCTACAGAAGAAAAAAAATGGAACAGAACAAAAGAAGAGCTGGAAAAGGGGCTTAAGTTGGTGATCCTCAACATCAGAAGGAGATGTTCCTCTTTTATTAAAAAAAGGAGCAAAAGAAGAGATTGAAAAGGGGCTCAAGTTCGAGTTCGTCAAAATATAAAAGGCTACAGAGGAACAATAGAATAAAAGAAGAGATAGAAGCTTGAGTTCTACAGTAGTTCGTCAACATCAAAAGAGAAGCTAGCTAGAGAAGCAATAGAAAATAAAAAAGGGGCTATGCCCCAAAATTGTTCATCCATCAAAAGCAACAGAAACGATTAAAGAAAAAGCCAACCTTAAAGGAAAATGCCAACCCTTCCCCTTTTCTTTTTCTATAGGGTATATATAGTCGGAAAAAGCGGACAAGCGTCGGAAAAGCGTCGGAAAAAGCGGACAAGCGTCGGGACAAGCGTCAAAAAAAGCGGACAAGCGTCAGGACAAGCGTCAAAAAAGCGGACAAGCGTCAAAAAATTCGGCACGGAACATGTAAAAAACGTGTAGAAAATCCAGTATGTACACACGTAACGTAAAGACCGACAAAATGCGTTATATATTATCTATACACGTATAAAAAACAAAGTACAGACGTACCGATTACTTAGGAGGAGAGTCATCCGTTGAAAGTAGCAAAAAAAATTCGACTTGATTATAGAGTCCTTTGAAATTGGCTCGGGGTCAATCCAAAGTGGTTTGTTCTTGCCTTGGTTTTGGTCTTTGCCTTGGATTTCCAATCCCCATTTTGTCAGTGCCCAGAATAGAATGCTGCCAAGCCAGTGGTCAAGGATGAGCTTGGTATATATGTCCCCGTTGCTTCTGGGATTGGGTTGCCTATCATTTCTTACGCTCCAGATGTAATAGGTCATGAGTGTTGGGGTTACAAAGTTGATGATGCTGTTCAGATACAAATCGAGGCTTTCAAGCTTTTTTAAGGACACATCTGTGATTTCTTTTGTCAGTTCAGGGAATATCTTAGCAAAGCTTGTGGAATTTAAAAAATAAGCATGGTTGTAACAGGCTCATTTGTTTCTCGTGCTGGAAACATATATTTGCCTTTGGACAGAAACTTCATGAAAGAGTTCCACAGCTTCTTGTTCCGCTTTCTACTGTCAAGTGCAATGTCAAGAAGACTGCTTTTACTTCCTGGTACAGCCTTTGTCAGTTCTCTGTATGCTTCATTTGACTTCAGACACATGATTGTTGCATCCCAAAAGAGTTTCATAGCATCTGGGCCTTTCTTCAAAGCATCCAGATTTGATCTCTTCTGGCAATTCCCAAAACGTCAATCATAAAGTTACCAAGATTTATGGGGATTGTATGCTTAGTTTGGTCCTGTAGTTGGAGACTGAAACTGCGCAAAAGGCCTTCATCTCTTCCCACCACAATTTGTATTGGAGCTTGGTACCAAATTAGAGTATTTTGAAGTTTTGCTTCTAAGCATTCGTGTGTGCTGCCATTGGTGGTGGCTTTCCAACCAAGAAGAAGATGACACAATGTGAAAAGCCGGTGCCGGCCTCCAATTGCTGCAAAAGACGGCAATTCCAAACCAACCCAAAGGACCTTTGCTATGAAAACAAGATCATGAATGCACTCCTAATTCCGTGCTCCAGTAGACCAATGATCAATTGGCGAAAGTTCCAACAGCTTGGCAACAAATTTTTGGATACTTTCTTTGGTGGTGAGGCCTTTATACTTTTCTGATATTCCATTAAGGATTTCAGACAATGACATGGCAACCCCAGCTTCATCAAGTTCGCCCATGTTTTTAAATTTCGAAGCATCATCAGTATAAAGTTTGGCCATTAATGCATAGGACTCAGCATCGCACTCCTTCCATCCTCGAGAGGCTAACTTGTCACCCCATGGCATTACCAGGGCCTCTTTCTCTTCGAATTCTCCTTTGGTTGCATATGGCACCAGAGCGAATTTGTGGTCCTCTCGTTCCTTTGTTCCTTGATTTCCCAAATAGAAAGACAGCAAACTTTTGTGCTTGTGCTCGTCAAACATCCCAGATATCGCATTACGGTCTATTCCTCGGGCATTCCAATTGGGCTGTGCTCCAATCTGAAATGAAAATGCTCCCTTCTCATCTTTGTGAATAACCAAGGCTTGTGACACCATCGCCAACAGGATGCTAGAAATTGTGCCATATGAAGACGCAACAGCGATGTTTTTGGTCGTCACTGGTGTCTCCTCCCGCCCAGTATCTAGCTTATGCAACCTGAAACAACCCTTTGTGTCTTCATCTGCCATCATAGCATAGCGATTCACGGTAATGCATTCAACTGCAGCCTGGGCGTCAATCAAATTGGGGATTTTCACGTTGGCGCTGTCATTTTTGGAAGCATTATGTTGACTTGGAGGAGGATAGAGGATCTCGTTTCCAACATTTTCAACATTAACACCATACTTGGAACAAAAGAGACCCAAGATTTCCTTCCTGCTACTAATTGGTTCCATCGTTTTGTTGTGGAGTGTTGTTGGCGGTGGTGAGCAAAACATGTGGAGTGTTGAAGGGACCCGGAGCAAATGGGTGTTGGAATGAATTCCCCGTTGGTGCTTACGGCACAAAAACCGGCGCGCCTTGCAGCGCTGCTTCGGTACTCATTGCATTTCTAACAATTGCAGCTCACGTGAAGTCATTCTAAAGAATACTGCTATCTGCTATGCCTGTTTTCAAAGAGGGTGACGAGGTGACCTATAGGAAGAGTACTGCACATGTTGGGACTGTGTTGGAAGTCAAGACGGACGGTGATGTACTTGTAAAGTGGGAAAACAACGACACATGGCAAGAGGCATCCGATCTTCATATTGTCCACAACGATCCACTATCAACTCCAGCACTCTCTTTTCGACGTAAACGACGGCGTATAACACCACCAGCAGTAGAATCTCATACCAACGCTACAGGTGCTGGAGGGTCAAATCACGATGAGACGAGCAACCCACCAGTGACAAACATTTCGTTTACTGCTGGTGACTCTTCGCCACATCTATCTTCACGACGACTACTTCCAGAGGGCTATATGCCAAAAGTGCGTCATGCATTAGCCTCATCCTCGTCCTCGTCCTCAAGCAGCAGTGGTGCCTTGGCCACCCAACTTGATGTCTCCTCATCCTCTAGTACTGGTAGCTCTTCGACTTCTTTGGTCTCGAGCAGTGATTCATCAGGCTCCAAATCCACTGCTATGGCACCAGCAGCAGGGAGCTATGTGCCACGACGACGCAGTGAATTCGACTCGTCCTCGAGCAGTGATGACTCTTCAGACCCACATTCTTCTCCAGCCCAGACGGCAACAAGCCCAGATGGCAACGACAGGCCAGAAAATGACGCCGAAGGAATGGGGGCCATAAATGACCCGGATCTGCAACGACTCCGAGAGCAATACAAAGAAAAGATCCGTATGTTCGAACGTTTGGATCTAAAGGGATACTTGGATGCCTTTGAAGGCCCAAGCAAAGATGCATTGCAATATGGATATGATGCTGATTCCATGAATTTGGCTACACAAAATTTACCGGATATTGGTTTCTTGAGGCAGTCAGGTTTTCATTTCAAAAAAGCGAGCGCAAATAACAAACCGTACCGCGCCCGGGGTGGTGTCAGAAAGAGCAGGAAGAGCAGGACAGGCGGGCTCAGACCATCAAAGGGTGATGTTGTCATGAAAGGCCCAACCCCATTGGATCAATTCCCTTCTTTCACCATCGGGAAGATTTATTTCAATGGAATATCAATGTATTTGTCGGTTCACGTGCTTATGGAAACAGGAGTTGGTCAATCTTGTCACCAAGACATCATAAATACATGGAATGCCGTTAATAGGTGGGCATATGGCTGTTCCAAAAGAAGCATTTTACATCTTCACAGAAACAAAAAACTGGGCCTTGATTTTGGTGATGACGATATGAATAGTACTGTCAACCTTTACCGCCTTGTTGCTTCTGGGTCGTATGGATTTGGGGAGGCTGGTGAAAAAGATCCAGGGATAGAGTCGATTAGCGCTTCGGTCACATCACTGCATCTAGCTTTGGTTTGGTTTCTTCTTGGGGCTATTGCCGATGCTGAATTCGAATTGGAAGAGACTGATGAGGACTCTGCCCATGCACTGTACTATTGTTCTGTTTTCCTTCTGCAGGGTGCTGGATTCAAACATAAGTGGAGAGAGCGCTTCGGAGACAAGGATAGCGTCCAGCGCAAATGTGATTTCTGTCCCATCCAACAGCGAGTAGAATGCAATGATTGGGTACAAGGTAAGGTCGTGGAGACCCATGAATTAGCCAAAAGGCGCTTCTTCCGGCAGGACGTTTCGTATCATGCATCAACACGTTGTGCAATTGATATTGCGGTTACTATCCACTGCAAAGGGGATTGGCATGTCCTTCCATGTGGAAAGTTGGCAAAGTTAACAATTGCAGAGGCAGTGAAAACAAGGGCAAGTGAAGCCCAACAAATATTCGATGAAGTAGATGATGAAGATGAGTATGGTGATGAGGAGGATGATGATTATGATGATTATGATGATGGTGATGATGGTGATGATGGTGATGATGGTGGTGATGGTGGTGATGATGATGATGATAATCTGGAACATATTGATTATTGGGAAGATGTTGACCATACCAAAGATGACCATGATGGCTTTTGTGACCTCGCTCTTCTTGAGCGCGTGGCCTTGTTAGAAGGACGGATACAATTTCCAAAGTTTGGGACAACTGGGGAGTTTGGTTGCTGTCAAATCAAGCGTGATACACTGGCAATGAACGCGACTTCGACAGATACATACCAGCCGGATGAGGATGATGACCATCAAAGAGTGGACATTGATTATGCGGCACGGAATCCACGAGCTGCAACAATAATTCAGTTCTATCTTCCCTATTATCGATTTGCTTTCCGAGATCAAGTAAAAAAAAAGAAGTTCTGGGAAGAGGCCCGAGAACTGCCTCGGGTGATTGTGCGGATGGCTTCAAAATTTGAAAGTTGTCTCATAGAAAACAAAGCCTTAGAGGCCGAAAGAAAGCATTTCTGTAAGACTCTCAAGCAACTTTTCCACATGTCTGAGAAATTCATCTCTGG